TATTTATAACTTTTATAAATAATTTTTAAAGTAATATAGTATATGTGTAATACTAATTACTATATAATACTAATACTAATACAATAAATATTATATAAATATATTATATATTATAAATATTATAATATATTATATTATAATATTATAAATATATTATTATTTTTTATAACTATTATATTTTATAATAACTATTATAAATAGTTTTCACAGTAATATAATATAATTTATGTATGAAATCTTGAGAAAAATATTTAAAAAAAAAAGAAGTCAGAATCTTTCGCATAAATTTTCGATAAATTATTCCCTAAATGGTTTGTAAGTATTTAAATACCCATAAGTAAACACACAGGAAAGAACAAACTCTACACAAGAAAAAGAGAAAGAGAAAAATAATAATTTACGAGTCAATACGAAATCTTTCAAAATTTTTGCAATAATTCTTCAAATAGTACATTCCCACTAAAATAATATTCAAAAATGGTTAAACTACGAAATTTTGTAATCTAAGAAATTACAAACCTTTGACCGAGTGTTTAAAAATGTTTTCGTAATACCGTGTACCTACAAAGAAATCAGAAATTTCGTAAAATCTAATAAAATAAAATCATCCTTGTAAAGTAACACGATAATAATAATAATATAAATTTGATTTAGCAAAAGGACAAATCTCATCGTCAGTTATCTTCATTCATTTTGCGTTAGTGGTTTTCTAAACGAAGTAAAGGACGAAGTTCCTTTTCTCAGTAATAAGGTAGATATATCTGCCAAAGTGATTTACTTTCTCATAAAATGCTACTCTATCCTTGTTACTATCGTATCTTCTCCTTTTTCTAACCATTACTAAGTAAAACTGTAAAACTTTATATCTTACTTCGTAGTAACGATTCACATAATTCGTCTATTTTCTCTATCTTTACTTACAACGACGATGAAGAAAAATAAAAAAAAAAGAAAATCCAATCGAAAATATCGTACTCGAATAAAGAAATATATATCTCAAAGTTTCCGTTCTATAAATTTTCTTACGATGTTTAAAAAAAAAAAACAAAAAAAAACACAATGATCGTAAAGATTATTTTTTGTATTCTAGAAGGAAAGAAATAAAAAAAAAAAAAAAAATACAACAAAAAATTAAATTACCACCAACCTGTGTAAAAAAAAAAAAAATTATTCTTTTAATTATATATTAAAAAAAGAAATAATTAATAAATAAAAATAAATAATTTAAATTTTATTATTAAAATTATGATAATTATTTTTCTAATCTAGAAAAATAAAAAAATAAACAACAAATACAACAAAAAATTAAATTACCACCAACCTGTGTAAAAAAAAAAAAGATTCTTTTAATTATATATTTAAAAATAAATAATTTATATTTTATTATTAAAATTATTACTTAATGAATATAATAAAAAAATGCGTTTCTCTGCGTATATATAGTTATATACCTATATACATACGTATGTTATCAAGTTACCACAATGAAATTAAATGGCAATGGCAAAGGTGAAACGATAATAAAAAAGAAAAGACAGAAAAGAAGAGAAAAGAAAAGAAAAAAAAAAACAGGTAGCGCGTGTGGTTGAAACATAGGAAACCTTGCCCTAATTACAGGGAAAGAGGGAGTGGCAAAGGAGGGTAAGATATAAAGTAGTTTCAAGACACATCTATATATATATATATATATATAAGACCCCCATCCTCATCGTTCCTCATTCTGTTCCGGTTAGACACAGAAAAGAGCCCTGGGATTCCCTTTAGTAGAACGAAACGTAGGCTGTAACACGTACTTCCTTTTTCACTTCTATACAGGTATATAAATATACAGGTGTATCTTCTCGTAATGAAAGAGAGAGAGAAAGAGAAAGAGAAAGAGAAAGAGATAAAGTTAGTAGAATTTACTGGGTACACTTGTGAGCTCAGTGGATTCAACGCGGAAACGTAGTTTTGAGCAAAACCCTAGGTTAGGGCGGTGCAGGGGAATCCCCAAGCCTGCGTGTAACTTCGCACGCTCGACACACGGTCACCATGGTAACCGGGAACGTTGGCAAGCTCTCTCTTTCTCTCTCTCTCTCTCTCTCTTGCTTCCTCCTTTCACCCCTCACAATCTAACCCCTTTAGTAACCACCCGTTCCCTCCAACCCCCACCATCAAACCACCCGTCCCATCCCGTTCCCCTTCTCATTCCACATCCCTCGGCATCCCTCCTTTCAGCACCCGGCCCCTTCTGGAGCTTTACTCGAGAGTCGGAGTCGAGTCTAGCAGAGTGCAGCCAGGATTTCATCCCTCTATCCAGCAGCCGCAGCATCGGGGCGGCTCCTCCCGGTCGTGCAGCGCAGACGTTCCTTTTTTTTCCCCCCGGTTGACCCAGGTCGCGTTTTTTTGGTTTTTTTTTTCCTAATAATCCAAAAAAATTCCCATAACATCTCTTCGTATTATTTTGTCTTCAGACTCCTCGAAAAAAAATTCTGCACCCAGTATTTTCATATATAATACAATTAAATAATAAAAATATCTGGTGAGAAAGGTTAATTGGAAACTCAGTTGAATTGTGCATCTACTGTTGACCTTGAAACTCCGAAGTGATCCTTATAGAGAGTCACGTGATCCAATAGATGTCTGTATCATTTGAAAAAGGTGTTGTTAGAATTCAATTGATCAAGAAACTTTCTTTATGAAGATTGTTCAAAGTTCAACACGTCTCTGGGCGCCTGTACAATGTGGACCAGAGATATGCGGCTGACAACAGTTTGCATCAGCAGCAGCAACGGCAGCAGCAGTCTTCAAAAGATATCTGTATTCCATGTATTATTTTTCTCGTCTTACTTGGAGAAAGGACGAAAACGTAATAAAATTAAGAGAACGAGAAAAAGGTTGTTGTTTGAGGAAAATAGATGTAACAAGGTTGTGGAAAAAAAGGCGGTGGCTCATTCGTTTGTATGGAAAAGCAACAACAGCAGTAACAGCGCATGAGAGGATAGACACGTGTCGTGTTTTATATAGTATACCATATTATACGTGAAAAGATAAAGAAAGATCTACAGATTTCTATATTATCGATACCACTTTATAACAAGATCATTCCAAAGATATATATATATATATAATAATAATTATTATAAACAAACAGAAGATTTATTTTTTCTCAGCTCGTTGTCAACTGAAATCGTTTTATTTTGAAAACCATCTCGTTCCTATAAAGTTCACTCAGGGTTTACGAAACGATAATTAATATAAAGAAGAAGAAGAAGAAGAAATATTTTTCGAATACAATCTTGCAGTATTAATTTACGTGCTGGCACTATAATTATTGTTAATCGAATATAAACAAAATAGAATGATAAAATTATCTTCTATTATTTAAATGAGAAAGAAACAGATTTGTGTGTGCAGATCACACACGATAGAAGTGAAAAACCTTGAAAGAAAACCAAGCTTCGAAATAATTGAATTGTAATATAGTGTCATCTATTGAAAGAACCTTACAGAACCTAGATAACCTCTAAATAATAATCTTTAAATTAGTAATAAAAAATAATAAAAAAAAATCTCGATAAAAATTGTGCTATGTGTTAAGTTGGACAAAAATCATTAAGTGAAATGAAATAAATTTCATGAAAATAAGTTGAATAGTTTCGGAATTATTAGTGGACAAACACATATTGTGACAATGAATTTTTATTTATAGAATTTAATTAATTAATATATAGAATAAAATGATAAAATTGAATTTTATTAATTAATTAATTATTTTTGTTTCATCGGGGTTTCACGATTTCTTCCGTTTCACGATTTTCAAATCACTCTGATTCTAAAGAAGTTTGCACTTCANAAAAAAAATATGACTAGTTCATCGAATAGCAGTAGTAGCACCCTGTCGCGTGCATGGCTTCGTGCAAATTGTTGCCGTTGCAGCAGTGATTCAAGACAGGATAATATGAACAATAATCTCAAGGATGATACACCATTGAGAGAAGAAACTGAAACGCTTTTGCACCGTATAGCATTCACCGTTTGGCACACAGCCCTGCACATCGAAAGAGAGGTGTGTCATTTTCCATCATTCTTCCACAACCTCCCAAACTTCCTTCCTTTTTTTTTTTTTTTTTATCTTCTTCTTCCTTTCATTTTATTTTTTGCGTGTGCAAATCTTGGAACACTATGTTCCAAGAGTAAAAGAAGAAATTGTGGTATCGTGCCAAATGTCTCGTCGTTTATTAATTGCAATGATCTTTTTGGAATATCTCTATGTATAATGAAATATTTCTATGTATTATGAAATAAAATTGATGTTAATTGTTTAAAATATTTTTTAAAAAAAAAAAAGGAAGATTTATAGAAAAAAATTAGATCAAAGTCAAACTTTAATATAATATTTCCAATGTATTTGAAATAAAATAGATGATAATCATTTAAAATATTGAAAAAAGAAATATTAAAAAAAAAAGATTAGTAAAATTAGTAAAATTAATTAAAATCTTTGTTTTTTAAATTATTTAAAAATAAAATTTCAATAATTATATTTTAACATATTTGAAATAAAATATATGTTAATTATTTAAAATATTAAGAAAAAGAAATATTTGAAAAATAAATTAGATAAAGATAAAATTTCAATAATTATATTTCAATGTATTTGAAATAAAATAAATTTGAATCATTTAAAATATTTTTAAAAAATTTATTAATATTAAATGTAAAATAAAATTACAATAATTACTAATACCACGCAAAAGCTACTAACACACTTATAATACCATTTACGTATGAAGAGGTTTGTACTTTCATATTATGAATAATTAAACGTTCAAACGACAACTTTAAATAGCTTGTCGCAATTATAAACGAAACAATAACCATTTTCTTTCTCAATAATAAAACGTCAACGAAAACGAAAACGAAAACGAAAACGAAAAGCAAAAGAAAAGAAATGTTTTTATAATTAAAAAAAAAAAAAAATGAAGAATTAACATGTTTTATTTCTTTTTATGTTTCAGCACAATGGGGGTTACGAATCACAGCCAAAAAATGTTAATACCATTGCGAGAAACAAACAACAACAACAACAACAACAACAACTACTTATGCAACAACACCAACATCAGTTACATCAACAACAGGTGAGGTTTTATTTTAAAAGAAAGAAAAATATGGTAATATGAGAAAGTATTTCTTTTTTTTTTTTTTTACAAGGTTTTAAATCAAATAACAATTTGCATAATGTTATTAATATTTCATGCAATCTCTCGTCTAATTTTTTTTCTTAATTTTTACAAAATACCAAAGTGTAAAATTAAACAATTCGAAAGTATAGTTGAACAAACACAAATCAAAAATAGATAATATATAGGAAAATGTATGTTAGAGAAAATTGGATGTTAACATGAATGGTAAATACACACATAACGATCTTTATCATACATACTGTATATACAGTGAAAACAAACTCTACATATGCCTCTAAACTTACTACACAACAACAACAACAACGAGAAACACACAATCGATCTAAAGTACTATAATTCTGGTTCATTTCGTGTTTCACCCATAATAATAATATCATCATACTTGTGTGGTAAACTTTACTATTTAATCTAAAAACAATTTCACGTATGATTTCAGTTTACCGAAGCATATCATTAGAATTATTTTCATATTTTGAAATATTTCAAAATCTAATTCCTTTTTTTTTATTTTTTTTTTTTTTTTTTAACTTAAATCCTAATTTGAAATATCTGAACTATCTATTTGAAGAAACCGCCTATGAATTTAATATGTAATAAATATTGAAACAAAGTCACGAGAACTTTCGAAATGGTAATTGGATACAAATAAACCGAGTTATTTTTATTTTTTATTTATTTTTTTT